GGGCACGGGAGCGTCGCTTTTACCCCTGAATCGAGGAAGATTTTCTTGCTAGCAATGAAAACTGTTCTCAGAGAAAAGGACGGCAAAGCTGGGCAGGAGGCTGAGATATTTCGTTTGTGATTTGAATTGTTTTTAGGAAGATTTGTGCACTGAGCAAAATTCAAGTAGGATAACGAGAAAAAAAAAAACCAACCAAGCAAACCAGCCCTAATTTTAGTCTGGAGTTTCCAAAAACCTCAAATCAGATACTTGACAGCAAATTCCACTTCTGGAATCGTTTAAAGCCTGACCAACTGGTAGGTTTTAGTAGGTAATGGCAATGAGATAAGAGTAAAGTCAGGTGTCAGGGTATGAGGTGAGTGTTGCTGGAGCAGACCGGTGTTAATTTGCAGTCTGACAGCTGAATTTTAGCTCACCAGATTGGAAAATGCATCTTTATCAATATCAGTTTATCATCATTTAAAGGTAATTAATTCTTTTGAAAATGTAATGTGGAGTTTTGTGAGATAAGTTTTGCCAAAGTCAGATGGAAGATGCGTGTGAGAGGACGCACGTGGTGAAGTTTGTCCTCAGAAGGAATCTACCTCTCCTTCAGCCAACAGCGAGAACTGGGGTGAGGTGTGTGACTTGGCTGCTGACTGATGAATCTACAAGCTCAGGTTTATCAAGATAGCCATGAGGTTTGAAAATGCAGAGGAATTTTTTCTGTATTTCTGTTTAAAAGAAAAAAAAAAGGACAAAACTTTTTTTTACCTGGAGTTGTACACTGAAAGATAAGACTGTGAGATACTTATGTTCAGAGCAGCAAAGAAGCTGCCCAAATGGAAAAATGCAGCCAAAAGAACTTTTTACTGAGAATCAAAGCTGTTGAGGCTTATCAGCTGTTAAAATCTGTTGAAATTTGCATATAATATTAATTTTCTTAATCTTACTGCCATCTAATGTCAGAGTTATGCTAAGGAGATAAAGCAGAGTAGAGACTTCACAGCTTGACAACTGCTTCCAGACAGGAAGGAGGGTAAACACCTTCAATGAAAAATTATTATTGTCCTTTTCTTTTGTTATAGTCTACTAAAATCCACAGAAATGGCTTTGTTTTGCTGTCTGTCACACCAGTAACTACAAGAGACTTGGCTCCTCTGTTCACATGTGGCAAAGATCAGATTCATGCTGCCAACCTTTCATGTTGGGCTGAAGGATTTCAGCTTTAATCAAAATTAAAAACTCGTCTGAGTTGGTGTCCTTTTCCCATCTTGTTGGACACTGTCTGGGAAGCCCCTGCATTGCCAAATGAGGCACAAGTGGTGCTTGAGGATATCTCAGCTCTCTGCTCTTGCTTCCCAACCTGTCTGAACTCCAAAGGCTTACTGTTGTGTACCCGTGCAGGCATCCATCCTCACAGGCTTCCAAGTTCAGTTTCCTGCCTTTCTGTTGAAATAGAGTTAAAGAAGGCTTCTTTTTAAAGCTTCTCCTCGTGATGGAGCTTTTTCCTTCACTTCCTGAGGTCACCAGATTGATGGAGCGCATTTCCATTGGGTTTTTAAACACCACTTACAGTTTCTGATGTCCTTTTGAATGCAGAACTTAAGTGATGTCTGATCTGAAGGACAGCATGAGCTCTGGAAAGTCAATATCTTGACAACATCCAATCTTTTATAAACCTGGCAGTGTCCAATAAACACAAAAATAATTAATTCAGGCATTCCTGCAATTTATATTTTTTCTAACAGGCAGCTAATGAGAATCCTTGATCATATTCATGAGCCCAAGAAGGCTCAGGAAAGTCCAATTGCTTTCTGTTCTTTGAGATACATAACAAGAAAATTGATACTGTTTTTCTAAATTGTATTTTCTATTTTAGCTCTAGCTTTTATAAAACCCTAGACTCTTCCCTGCAGAACTCTTTGGGGGAAGTTGCTTTCAGGCTCATAGAGTTATCCAAATTTTTCTTTTCTGACATGTTTATGGCAGAGAACAATACTTTGCAGGGCAGGGAAGGAAGTGAAAGCCTTTGTAGATCACTTATTTTTGCATTATTCTAGGAAGTGGCTTATGTGGTCTCAAAATACAGAGGTCAAACTGCAAAGCTGCTAATTCTGCTTGTGAAAAGTGATTGTGGTAAAGGAGTGTTTAGTCAATACAGCTACAGATGACAAGGCTCCAGCCATCTGAGTGCACGCCTGTTGCAGAGTGAGCCATTTGTTGGGGATGAGTTATTTGTCGGGTGTAGGGAAAACTCGGACACTCAATATGAGATCAGCAAGCTCCGTTTATTGAAGAGAGCATGAGACGCTTATACAGCAAGTAATAAGTTCATCAATATTCTGTAATTTACACCGTCTATTGGCCACACCACAACATCAGCTCTTCCCCATTCCTTAGGGGTCACATCTCTCTTTTCTCATGTCTCTTTCACTATTTGTTATCATACTACAGCTAGGTCTAAAGACACGCTATCTTGCAAGTGCAAGACTTAGAATTAGCTACAACCTTATACTTTTCTAATTCTTAGCTACTCTCCCAACACATGCCTGAGCTTGGTCTCCTTTTCTTCCAAGGCAGTTCCAAGGTACAAGTCCATGGGGCTTCTCTTTTTGGAGAGCACTGTGCACATTACTGGTACACGAATTGGGTTTGTGAGCAGTGCTTGTAGCAGATGGAGGCACATCACAGCTGAGCTGCAGCAGCTGGGTTCTCACCTGCCAAGGTCAGGATGATTTGTCCAGACTTTGGAAGCAGTGGCTGTAAATGAAAGATCCCTCAGCGAATCTTTGGATCCTAATTCATAGCAAATTTCTCTGCAAGAGGGTAAAATGCAGCTAGAATATTATTGTACACTACTTTTTCAGGTCTAAGGTGAGTAGGGGATAGTTCTTTAAGCTTGTTACTCACTCCTGAGAGAAATAGGAGAAAAATACAGGCATGGTGTTTGGTGTGATATGATCCAGAGGGTCCCTCAGTTGTGTATGTACACCCAGAAATTGCTTGGGGGTGTATCTGTCACATATTTAGGCTTAATTTTCTGATGGGTTTTTTTGTGTGTGTGTTTTGGGTTTTTTGTTTGTTTGTGGTTTTTTTGGTTTTTTGTTTGTCTTTTTGTTGTTGTTGTTGGTTTTTGTTTGGTTGAGTTTTTTGGGATTTTTAGGTTCCTTTTGCAAAGGTCAGTAAGGACTCGATGATATGAGTGCCGATATTTCCAGGTGTGATATAGCAGATGGGTGTTTGGAGCTCAGCAGAAGTGCAGTTTCATTGGATTGAGCTGCATTCCTGCAGAGAGAGGTGCCACCTTTGCCAGGTCCAGGCCACTTCTCATTTCCCCTTACATCTTGCATTGAGCTGCACAAATGATTTTGAAGCCAGGAGGTGAATTGCCCTGAGGAACTGGCACGGGGTAAAATCACCCCCAAGTGATAAAACCAGAAAAGGTTTGGTTTAAACCCAAATCTTTTCCTCAAGCTGGTTCTGTGTGAAGCCTCACAGATGCCGTGCTGAGCGTGGCGGGTGGTGCAGTGATGGGGGAGAGCTGGCCAGCTCCAGGCTTTGATGGCTCTGCGGGTTTACACTGGCTCTCAGTTGTGAGGAGCCTCTCTCAGCAGGGGCATCTTCGTGCTGGAAAGAGCAGCAGTTTCATTTTAAGGACTGTAGTGGATCTCTCCACCCACTGATACAATCTTAAAGGAAGCACATCTGTTTCTTTTCCCACTGTGGTCCTCGAGTCTTAGGCTTTGTTCAGGTGAAAACAAACTTAGAAGAAAGGAGATTGTAGAACATGAAAGAGCTGACATGCACAAGTCAGAACAAATAGTCCATCTTGATTTCCTGTACTGTAGGATGAAAGTAACATGTACTTGTTCTTTGAAATGCTGAGTCATTATATCACAGCATTTTCTGAAAAATCACATTTGTTTAATACATTTAGGCTCATTGGATATATCCAGACATTACTATGACATAACAAGTGCACACTAAAATCCAGTGGGGGTGCAGCTGAACTGAGGGGCATGCAGTTTTGAGCTGACTCCACTTTAGCTGTGAATTTAGAGCCTGCTGATAAGAACAAAAGTGCCATGAGATTTGTGGAGTCAGAATTGTTTATTGTGCTCTGTGTTTTATATCCTGCTTGTATTTCTAATGTCTGTTCCAGGTTTCTTCCCTGTGGGAGAAAAGCCACGCTTTCATGTAAAGGAAAAGTAGAAGTTAAAAGGCTTACTTAAAAATAAATTGTTCTTGAGGAAGCCAAAATCTTGTAATTATTTCTTACTAGTAAAATTAATTATCCTCGTTGCAGTTAATATTGAGATATTGAACACTTGAGTGGCATCTGTAGCAGGTGTAGTTTGCACATTTCCAGCACTGTTTCATTGCAATGCCACACACTGCAGGTTCTGGTAAAAGCTGGAGCTCAGGGAGCCCCTAGACCTGGAGTGCACCTGAGAGGAGCTGCAGGGGAACCTCTGCCAGGAGCATGGACAGCCCTGGAATGCCCAGTGCAGGCTCTGGCTCTGGAGGAGTTCCCGGAGCTGCTGCCAGCCCAGGCTGGGCCTCTGTGAGGCTGCCATGGAGGGCTGAGGATGCACAGAGTTGTTCTCCACTGGATGCACCCTG